CGCTTACAAAGTGTAGTAGGATGATAAACATTTTTTAAAAGTAAAAACATACATTTTATATTCAATGAGGTATTGTTTTCTTAGAAAATTATGAGGAACAAGGATTTTAAAACAATTTTGCTGCATATAACTCATGAATAAATTCTCTCTTCATTGTAGAAGACACCATCTTTGCCCCATTATTAGATGAAATAAACCCAAGGACAAAGGAAATCAAGAGGTAATCTTTTTGGCAATCTTGTCATGCAGTTTCTGCAAAACATTCCCTGCAGTGCAGGATTGTTCAAAGCTTCACATGCTGATTCTTGCTTGCTGTGAGAAAAAACTAGCTGCCTCTTGCTAAGAAAGATTTTCTGAAAAGGAAAAGGAACTGAGTGACTTGCTGTATCTGTTTGGCCCAAGGTCTTGACAAGCCACAGTCCATGTCTCAGTGATCAGCTGTATTCATTTTGCATCATGTGCCCCGATTGGTTGAAAGTACTTAGACTTGAGAAAGAAACATCTTATTTAATGTTGCCCTCTTATTTCCAAAGAGCATCCTTTCCTACATCAACTTCTTACATTGCACATTCTTTTCCCCTCTATCTCTATGTTTCCTTAATCCTATTGGTCTTGCTATCAAAAAAAAAAAAAAAAGAAAAGAAAACGTACAGCATTATAAATAATATAAATACATAACTCGCATGATATTTAGAAAACAAATACTGAAGATTGTGCTGAAAGTTTCATCCTACAAGATTTCCAAACTCACTGAGATTGTATCAAAAATCAAAACTTCACATGTTTTTTGAGGAAATACCTGGGATTTGAGAGTGACTCTTTTCCACTGTTGCTCCCTTTAAAAACTATAGGTGTAGACTGACATAGAAAGTTCTTTAGAAGATATTGCCAGAACGAAGACAGAAATTTTGCTGTGTATGAAATTGTGTCTAGTGTATTATAGTAGGTTATCTCTTGGTCAATTGTCATGCGTCCATACACTTGAAATTGTATTAATGTATTAATTACCTGATTAGGCATAGCGATGTAAATAGTCCAAAGCAGATATGCATAAAAAGGTCATAGTTGTTATGATTGCTTGAGTATATGGCTGTGATTTTAATAGCATGTTATCTAGCCAAAAACATTTCACAAAAATATGGTTGAAAATGATTAATTTTTTTTAAAGATTTTATTTACTTATTTGACAGAGAGAGACACAGCGAGAGAGGGAACACAAGCAGGGGGAGGGGGAGAGGGAGAGGCAGGCTTCCCGCCGAGCAGGGAGCCCGATGTGGGACTCGATCCCAGGACCCTGGGATCATGACCTGAGCTGAAGGCAGATGCTTAATGAGTGAGCCACCCAGGCGCCCAATGATTAAAATTATTTTAAGCTATTATTTGCAAAGGATTTCTACCCTCATCGTATTATTAAGATTTATAAAATTTAGAGTTCTAAAGATCACCTCTTTCTTTGTTTTTCAGATAACGAGACAGACCTCAGAGTGGCCAGACTTTCCCAAAAACTGTTAGTGTGAATGGAACATTAACTTATTCCTGGCTAGCAGCCTCTATTGGATGGCATGCTATATCATATTTTATTTGGTTTCCATATTTAGTATGTGAAAATCTCAAAATATTATAAAATCAAGTATAAGGCATGAAAGATAATGCAATAAAGAAAAAGAAAACAGCCCTTAAACAACTTTTTTTTTTTTTTTTTTTTTGGGGGGTTAAAATTATTATCACAAAGATAGGTACTATGCACTATTTTTTTTCCATGGAGTAAAGTGTTACTTGGCTAGTAAGCAATTATCATCTTGACCTTTTCATTTCTTCAAGTTGAGGCTCAAAACATTTATCAATATTATAAATTAATACAAATGTGAAGAGAATTATAGTGAATATACGGTAGATGTAGCTCTATTTAACAACGTTTTAAGAATAGCAGGTGCTTAATAAATTTTGTGGAATTTCAAATATACTCTAGCTTCTAGAAACTTTCCTCTAATATTAACATTTTACATAACCATGGTGCATTACTCAAAACAAAGAAATTAATGGTGAATTACTATTAACTGCAAGGTTTAAGAATTTTTCCATGAACATCATTTTTCTGTTCTAGAATCAAGTCCAGGGTATCATATTGCATTTAGTAATCACATCTCCTTAATCTCCTCTGGTCTGGAACAGATCCTCTGTCTTTATTTTTAGTGACCTTGTCAGTTTTGAAGGGCAGTAGTCCAGTGTGATGTAGAGTGTCCTTCAATTTTGATTTTTCTGATGGGTTTCTTATACCCAAACTGAGGTTAAGAGTTTTGAGGAAGAATGCCACAGAGGTGAAATGGCCTTCTCATTACAACATTTTGCAGGTTATATGATATCAACAACATATCCCTGGTGATGTTAACTTTGATGAAGTTAACGACTGCCAAGTATCTCTACTGTAATGTAGTTTTTCTCTTTTCATACTTAATTATTTGGAAGTGAGTTATCCTCTTAGCCCACCTTCAAGTAGAAGAGAATCAAGCTCTACCTTCTGGAGAGAAGAATGTCTACATAGATTATTTGGAACTCTTCTATAAGGATCATTTGTCCCCATTTTATTTTGTATATTGAGATGCTAGCAATTGCATTATTATATACAATTTAAATGTCTTTTCATAATTCCAATTCTCTAGTTTTAAACCTAGCTGATTCACCCACAATTCTTTCTTTTAGAACCTGAAGTGCACGTTTGAGAGTAAAAGGAAGAGTTTATATTGTTTTTAGAATTTGTTTTTCTATGTGGTCTATTAGCATCCACTTGCCAGAACAACCTATTTATTTCTTCCGTAGGAAATCATGTAGGAGGAAGTTCGATGTCCCTTGGAGCTAGAAAATTATCAATTTTAAGCTTAATAAACTGGATAAAGCATATCAGTAGATTTTATTAAAGATATACATACACTAAGATATGACAGCCAAAAATAATAATCTTAAGCATTTTGAGATGTAACCAAACACAACTGTTTCTTTTTGCATGCAGACAGATGGAATAAAACGAATTGAAATTACAACTACATTCCACAATCATGGAACATATTTTCTAAAAGCTTCAGCTTCAAGGGATTTGAGTTTATGCTTTGGGAAGGACTAAATAGCCTGTTCATTGTGACCTCAATGGGCAACAAGGGATATATAGAAACAATAGATCTAGCACACATATTGGTCTATGGCCATTAAGTGCCTTATAAGTGAGTAAAAAAACTTTAAAATCAATACAGATTTTTTTATGGGAAGCCAATGAAGAGATTTTCAAATAAAGGGTAATATGTTCAAACAGATGAATTCCTGTAAGGATGTGGCTGGCTGCATTCAACAGATAATATGTTTTGGAAAGACCATGGCTCTGCTAACTCATACATAGAAAGTCTGAGTGATCTCAACTTTACGAAATATATTGCTAATATCACATAGAATACAATATATCAGAAAAGTATCTCATGATGAGATAATGGATTGGAAAATATTTTGCAAGTGGTAAAATCCTCACAAATGTTAGTAATAATTATTAGAGTTCTTACATAATAATTCTCAATTTATTGCTTAGAAAAGGTGTCAGTTTAATGACAATTTGGACTTAACGACACTGACAGCACTGAACTATGATTTCATCTGTGAGTGCAATATTTAGTTTTGAGATATTTCACATTTTTTCTCCCACTTCATTAAGTTTTGTGTGGATGAGGCTAACATTTTCCAACAATAAAATCATTCTTGCCTCAACTGATTTTTACCCGCACCATGTAGAGTTAGGCAAGGATATAGCAGTTCACCTGGTGACCTGCGTTTGCGTTTTCAATCACAAGTGACATACGGGTAGCAAAGCCGGGAGTTCTTGCCCTGAAAGCTCCTCCTAACTCCCTGATATGCGCAAGACTGAAACCTGAAATGGAAAAGCAAATGTGACCCAAAACTGACATGAGGAGATCGACTCCAACTTGTATCATTTCCATGTACAAAATTGTTGAACCGTCTACTGTCTGCCATCCTCACCATCACTCTGATTTAGATGCTGTAGATCCCCCTGGTTCCCCGTGTCCACCCACTCCCACTTGAGTCCTTTCCTCTGAGCATGGCTTCTACACTCCCTTCTCTGGTCCTCTGTCAGATTCTTTCTAAAATCTAATCCGGTCACACCATCACCCCTCATTTTAAAACCTTCTAATAGTTTCCTATATCTCTCATGATAAAATCAAAATTGATTAGCATAGCCCATGAAGTCCTTTAGGATTTGGGTTTTGCTCACCTCTCCATGCCCGCCGTGGTCAGCCTGTATGCACTTGTCATAATGAGTTACTCCCACCTTTTGGTTTCCAGACTCCATTCCCCTAATCCTCTGCCTTACTGTCTTTTGTTCATGTTGTTCCTTCAATCAGCAACATTCTTACCCAGTCTTTTGTGGAGGTTCTTCTATGTCTTTTGAGCGCCTTTTATGTGTCCTAGAGACACTCTGTGCATATCTCAGTATTGCACCTTTTGTAGTCTTTTTATATCTGTCCTTTTGTCTCTCCTCTCTGCCAGATGGAAAACTCCTTGGTCAGTGACTTTACATTGTTAATCATCATATTCCCAGTATGTGAGCAATGACCAGTATGTAGTAGATATTTACTGAATATTTGCTAAATACACATGGAAGCTATGTGAATATATTCCCAATTAAATGATATATTTCTGTTATATAAAAATACATTTGAAAAAGAACATTCCCAACTATTTTATGGTGTATAAATTACTTCAATTTAATAACATATTAAGTTTTATAGAATAAAATTCTTTAAAAACTATAGACTAGATTACATAAAAATTTATATCAACACCTCCTTCTCAATTTCTTTATAAAATTTCACAACTTTGTTTTTTCAAAATAATCCTTCAGATCTATAATTTCATGATCTTTTCTATTAAAAACATTCCAATTTGCAGTTTCTTACATATAGATCATTCAAAGTGCATAAAACTAAAAGTAGCATGTCGACTTGAAGCACAGCACACTTTTTAAAATCAACTCATAGACAACATGAAAGCCATTCATATTAAAAAAGCAAATTCAGTAGTGGTATTGGTTTGAGATGAGATGAGACACAAATCACAGCTGGTCTGAACATTGCTCCTAGGCAGTGAAGCAGAAGGGATCCTGTAGAAGGGAAACTGTCATTGAACAATCATTGTGGTAGTGTTGAGAAAACTTCATTTTGTGCAAACTGAGATTACATTAACTGAGGACATTTGGAATGCAGGAACTAAATCAGCGTGTTTTTAACCAAATCCTTACTTTGAGGAGCACTTCCAGGGTCAGAGAGGCTCTTCCCACCTGGGAATCATTGCAGTGGTTCATGTCCCACCAAATAGTCCTGGACAGTAACTTCAAGTGGAAACTCTCTGGCTGTCAATAACACTGCATTTGGATAATGATAGTGTAACAACTAGTAACATCAGTGTAGTATGAAGAGTATGACAGGCACTTTACAAGTATTATCTTACTTAACTAGTAATACTTTCAAAGAGATGTTGGATGTCATCATCTTTTATATAAATATACAAATACAGAGACAAAATCACATGTTCAAGGTAAGACAGCTAAAAAAGTGACAGGGCAAGAATTCAAAATTGTGTCTTTTGGTTCCATTGCCCAAGATCTTACCCAAAGAAAATAACACATTCTAAGCATCCAGGGCGGGGTTGGGGGGGTGGAGAATGTCACGGATTATCTTTATTTTGAAATAATGCTATGCTTGTTATTAATTTGGTTTTGTGAATAGTGATTTCTTTCAAAACAAAGCAACCTATTCCACTTCCAAATAGGGACATAGGTTTGGGGAATTTCATTTTCAAGTTAAGTAATGTTTTGTTCTGATGAGACCTCTGGAGGTGGTTTTGACATGGAAAAATGATGGGAAGATAAAGTGATTAAAGCTGTCAAGTGGTGTTCAAATTGTAAGAATGTAGTCATTTTGTTACTTTTTTTGTAAAAGTTTTATATACCTATAGAGTACTTCTGTTTCGAAGTGTGTGTGTGGGTGTGTGGGTGTTTATGGTGTGAGGGTTTTAAGGCTTTGTGATTGACAAAAATTACTGCAGGCATATGAATAATCCAAATTAGAATTTACCACCCAAAGGAAACAACAGCATGTATAGCTAAAGTAAATGGAGATTCTCGCAACTATTCTCTGTTGACAACCCTAGGGTTCTGCAGTGGATTCGTATTTTCTAATTGCATCATCTTGGTTTCTGTGAAAAATAATACGCATCATCTAGGGCTCTCGTTAGCCTTTGAGGCCATATAAGCATATTTCTCTTATTTTTAGCAATTTTCTTTTTTTTGAATTATATAAGGTCTACTAACTTCAAAAGTTATTTTCACAGACTATTCAAGGAAAGTAGGAAGCTGCCACAGTATCAAGCTAGGTTTTTCTGTATAGCACAAAGAATAAGTGTGAAAAAATATTTCTAGTCTTGTGAAAACCAAAACAAATTATTATAATACAATGTTTTTGATCTTGTGGAAAGAGCAAAACACATTTTTGAAGTTGAATGGTGTTGCTACATTTTAAGGGAGACAGAGCCTTCAGTGTATAAAATTATGTATCATTATGTTGTCAGGAGCCTGTATTTTACATAGTAGTTAAGCTGAATAAATAATCAGGTAAAAGGATAAGCTATGTGCAGGTGAAAAAACACTCAATAAATTGACCATCTGAAAATTCCCTACATTGAAGCATGAGGAAAAAAATAGAAAAACGTGAGAGCTGAGGAGACAGGATAGATAGGAAATCCAACATATGTATTATATATATATATATGTATATATATATATATATAAACACATCTCTCTCTTTATCATCTATAACATATATATATACACATATATATGTATATATATTTCAGAAGAAAAGAATACAAAGAATAGGGGAAAAAGCATGTTTGTGATGATGTATTAACTAAGAATTTTCTAGACCTAATAAAGGAATGATTTTATAGCCTTGGTAAAAACAGCAAACCTCAAGTCTGATAAATTATAAGGAGTTTACTCTGGGGAGCATTGTGCCAATACTTTAAAATACTCAGAGAAAAAGTTTTAAGAAATGAAGCAGATGAACATAGGGGGAATAAGAGAGAGAGAGAGAGAGAGAGAGGCAAACCATAAAACAGACTCTTAACTGTAGAGAACAAACTGAGGGCTGCTGGAGGAGAGATGGATGGGGTTGGGCTAACTGGGTGATGGCTATTACGGAGGACACTTGCTGTGATGGGCACTGGGTAGTATATGTAAGTTATGAATCACTAAATTCTATACCCGAAACTGATATTACACTGTATGTAAACTAACTGGAATTTACAGAAAAACTAGAAACAAAACAACAAGGATAGAGAAAAGAAATATTCCTTACAATAAGATTACAATTAAATAAATACTAGATGTATCAATAGCAAAAATAAAAAGCAAGAGATAATGAGTTAAAAAGGTGTTATGTGTAAGTGAAAAACAAGTTTAAAAATGCATTTTAATACACAAAAAAGATGAGTTTACCAAAGACAGATCATCACTTAAAATTTTATAGAATACAGTTTAGGAAGAATCAATCTGAACTCCAGGGAAGTGCAAAAAAATCAGACAGGATTGGTGTGAAAAAAATTAAGTATGCATGATATAAACAATAATTGACTTTATAAAAGTAAATGAATGAAAACACTTGTCTTATTCTTTTTTTTAAGATTTTACTTATTTATTTGCTGGGCAGGGGGGCACAAGCAGGGGAAGCGGCAGGCAGAGGGAGAAGCAAGCTCCCCATTGAGCAAGAAGCCCAATGTGGGACTGGATCCTAAGACCCTGGGATCGTGACCTGAGCCTAAGGCAGACACTTAACTGATTGAACCACCCAGGTGCCTGTTTGTCTTATTCTTGAAAGGGAAGGAAAAAAAAAAAGACATAAAGATCAAGGTATAGCATCATATCTCATATTACTGATTCGTTAATTATTTAATTTATTAAGAAAAGTCCAATTATAGTGACTGAGGATTTGCCAATTTTTGGGTATCTGTTTCCCATTGCCCTTTCTTCTGTTGAAAATAAATGTCAGTTCATTTTTTGGACATACTTTCATCTCAACCTCCTTTACACTCATTTATATGAGCTATAATTTTATTACCTCTTTGAAAATATTAATAATAAGATATTTACTTCTGTCATTTTCCTTCCCTAAAACAGACCAGACTATTTTAAACAAAATTGCATCTGAAAATCTTTGAGAAGCAACATTTTCTTCTTAAGTTTGGTGTAAGTTTGGTCTTTCCATTATTTCAAAAATAGGTCTAATTAAATAGGAAAATCTTTCTAAAAAAATTCAGTGTCGTCTGTGGTAGACAGCAAGACAACTGAAAAGACATGGTATATGGACTCACCCAGACCTGGATTCAAATCCCTCTGAAACCCTGTACATTTTCTTTCCCAGTGTATTTCTTATCAAGCTACTTGCCTTTTCTATATCCTATTTGTTTCATACCTTTTTGTAAGTTCCAGCCTCCATCCTTAATTTCTTCTTATCTTCTATTGTCAATGCCTTTAGATTTCTAATTTTTTGCCTAATTATTTCAACTATTTTATTGATCATTATTTTTTATTGATTATTAAACTGTTATCTCTCAGCTATAAATTCACCTTTATAAACCACCTTTGTGTTTTGGGGGCTGGGGTAGTGATGATATATTTATCATTTGTCATCTGGTTTCCTTTAGGTTTTGCAAATGGGGACACTGAGGCAGACCAGAGGCAGGGAAAGGAATGGAGGCTTTGTTCCCTTTTGTCTGCTTCTTGTTCTTTTCAGCATCACATCAGTGATGGCCCATACCCCTGCACTAGCCGGTAGATTCAGTTCCCTACTTCTTTTAGCACTCCCAGAATCAGCATTGTTCATAATAGTAAAAAATAGAAACAGCCCAGTGTATATCAACAGTAGAATAGGTAAATATTTCATGGTCAATCATAATAAATGAATTAAAATAATGTATACTAACTTGATTGAATATCAATGATATGATGTTGAAGAGGCAAGATAATGGGATATATACAGGATGGTTCTATGTATATAATGTTCAAGAACATAGGACATGCATAGGTGTTAGAAACTATAAAGAAAAGCAAGAACATGATTACCCCAAAATTTGGTGGTGCTCTATGGAGGAAGGAAAGAGATGTGATTGTGGAGAGAGAACTTCTGGGGTAGCTATGAGTAACTCTTACATTATTGTTCTCTAAATTTGTATATGTTATGTCTCAGACAATTTTTTTGTGCCTAAGCTATTTTTCATAATAAAACTAAAAATAGAATAAGTAAGTAAAACACAAAATTTCAAAGGGAGAATAAATAGGGCCCTGGTAAGATAAATGGTGTCATATAAACAGAGGAAGACTTTTTTCAAAACCATGTTGGTAGAGATAAAACCAAGTTTTGGAATTGTAAATATACTATTGAGATCTTACAAAAAAAAAAAAAAGTGAGGGAAGGCGGGAGGGAGGGAGGGAGTGAGGAAGGAAGGAAGGAAGGAAGGAAGGAAGGAAGGACGGACAAAAGTCTCAGAAGCTATAGCACTTTTATAATAGTTATACCAATGTAATAAAATGGGGCATACTATAGACACCTTTATTAGCAAGCTCCAGTGTTGTGAGTTTTAAAACAAGTGATATAACTGATCGTCTGTAGTTCAAATAAATGGTCAGACGTCCAGCAAATTGGGACATTTTGCTATAGTAATTTTTGTTTCTAAAATGTCTGAAGTCATATTCTAACTATTTTCAGATGCATATATACCTTAAACATAATGCAGCATTTTTCAGAACTATGTACTGCCATCAGGTGTGAGCAGAAGGTATGGGGGAATCTCAGATCAGGCAAATGAAAAGGAGAAGCAAAGAAAGAGAACAGAAATCCAAAATATAGAAGGGCAAGGCTATCAATAAAACAGAAAATCCATGCTGAATCAAAATGAGATTACAAGCACTGAACTCAATAAAAAGTGACCAAAAAGAAGCCTCCATATAAATGTGTTTTCATAACTTCTCCAATTCTCTGGGCTTATTTATGCTAATACCTAAGTCTCCGAATACCAAAGGGAAAATCTAATACAGAAAGTGGTCACTCCCCACCCCTTCTAAGACACAACTTTACTCTTGTGACCTGAATTACACCACTGCTAACTTACTCTATAAACTGCCATCTTTCTTTTGGTCCTTTAAACACTCCTACTCCTTCCAACAGCTATCTGATTATTTCTTTGGCCTTCCACAAGAAAACAACGGTGACAATACCACCTCCCTCTGACTGTATACCCCTCAACTACTGCTTTCTCTCTTCATCCTCATTGCCAATATTTGTGGTGCTATCTTAAGTACATTATTGGTTACTTTCACTTAAAATACTGTTTCGACTTTTTCAAAAACTTGTAGTTTGGTGTGTGTACCCACGAGAACTGTGCTTGCTGTCCCTCAGTTTACCAGTGATTGCTGGGTTGCTAATCCACAAGATGCTTTCAGTCCTTAGCTGTCTTGACTTCAGTACTCTTCTCTTGAAACGCTTTCTCCTTTTGGCTTCTAGAACAGAATTCTCTCGAGCCCCACCCGTACCCCCACCTCCTTGTAAAGTATCCATGGTGAATCATTTAGAACTCTAAAGGAATTATGATTTCATTTGCCTTTAGATAGCTTAAATGCTGCATGACAGTCCATACATGTATTCTGTTCTGTTGGAATTAGATTCCAAGTCTGACTCTCCCAGCTACTTCTGTTCCCTACTTGAGAGCAGAGAAGATATTTGCTACTCTCCAAGCCCTAGTAAGCATGGGAAAATTATGAAAATCTGTAGCAGTTTTTACTGGCTACTCTCCTGGTAGTTTTTTTTTTTTTTTTAACTGTTCTGCCACACTGTGCAGAAAAGACTAAAAGGCTGGATGAGGGCTAGGCTTGTCATTACATTAGAAAGAATTGCACACATTCCCTGTGATTTGAGATCCTTCCAAACCATTTTTGTTATTCTGTCATTTTGAGATCTTGCAACAAGACTCCATCTGGACATAAAGGGCAAGTCATAGGGGTCCTTCTGAATGCCCTCTCACTTAAGTTTCCTTCTTAATGACTATAATTTTCTTCTTCTTCTCCCAGTCCAGGTAATCTTTTCCACAGAATCTTGCAATGTTTTATATCATTCCAATATATAGTTCACGGATTCTGCTGTAGCAGCATTCCTTGAGACATTAGGTGCTAGGGAGATAAAGTTGTTTGGGAGAAGGGACACGGTGGGGTGGGAGGGACTGAGGGGTGGGTTGGGGGTTGGGGGGAAATTACTACGCTGAAAGCAGCAGTTTATACACTAATTTGAAAAATAGGATAGAAAGATTGTGTAGAATAACAATTTTGTATATTAACTTCTGGGGTTCATATATTATTTTAGATTAAATTTCAAACATACTAAAATATATAGTAATAATGTGACTCTTCTGCAGCTGTTCTTCAGTATCTCACCATGTAGGAGGGTCTATATCGAGATACCTTATGATCTTTTCATCTCTATAATTAATTATGTGCTTATTTTCTCCCATCACACATATTTTCATATTTTATTTTACCAGAAAAATGGGTTTATTTTATTCAAGAATAGCAAAGAATTACAATTTGGGACAAGCAAGCTACAGCAAGACCCTAGGTAAGTCCAGAGAGAAAAGGAGAGAAACACTCGTTTTTAAGGAAGTTGAGAGGGCTATTATAAGCAAAAAGTCCACAGGAGTTCAAAATATTCTGGCTTCTCATTGGCTGAGTTTTGACTGTTTGTCATTGGCCAGGCTGTTGCCAGGGGAGGAGGAAAGCCTTTGTTCCTCCTGTGGCAGTAGTAAAGTAGTAGCTAAACTAGCATTGACTTACAAGGTGCTTCTCTTTTTGTTGGGTCTACAGTTGTCAAAGAGTTGGGGGTGTGAGAACTTCCCCTTCTGGCCTCCTCACTCCGTTGTTGTTTTTTTTTTTAAGATTTTTTAATTTATTTATTTGAGAGAGAGAATGAGAGATAGAGAGCAGGAGAGGGAAGAGAGTCAGAGGGAGAAGCAGACTCCCTGCTGAGCCGGGAGCCTGATGTGGGACTCGATCCTGAGACTCCAGGATCATGACCTGAGCCGAGGGCAGTCGCTTAACCAACTGAGCCACCCAGGCCCCCTCCTCACTCCGTTTTAAACAAGTTTTCTCCTAATAATTGTCACAATAACATTGAATTATTTATAACAGGCATCAGAGAACAGCTTGACACTTTTTTTTTTTTTTAATCTGCTGATAGGTGTTTGGACTCTGATTCTCAGACTCGTGTTCTTGTCAACTTTTAAAGGAAAACGTCAATGAAATAATTATTTTTAACTTTTAAATAGTGACATTTTGCCAATTACCAAAAATAAATAAATATTTTAAGTAACTCATAAGGGGGCACCTGGGTAGGGTTAAGTAGTAGCCAACTCTTGGATTCAGCTCAGGTCATGATCTCAGAGTCCTGGGGTTGAAGCCCCGGGGTGGGCTCCATGCTCAGTGGGGTGTCTACTTGAGAAAGAATCCTCTCTCTCCTCTCCCTCTGCCCCTTCCCCCATGCACACACACTCTCTCTCTCTCAAATCAATAAATAAATCTTTAAAAATAAAACAACTCCTAACAAACTTAGTACAAATAAAAGTGTATTATTAAAATGTTAAGAATTTGAAATTCCGTCAGACCTAGTGAGGTGGTGGTTGTCAATATAGCTAGGAAATTATAAAACATGGTGAAATAGTGAAGGGTATTATTAGTTATATTTTAGAACCATGTCCAAGGCTTCACCTACAGGTCAAGTTAAATATATCTCATGTATAACTGTGAAATTCCAATGTTGGGACATCCTTTACCAGGTAATTTTGATTTTTCAAGCTTCCCATATTATCATATACTTTTTAGGATAACCTCCCCCTATTTGTCATTTGGTTGTGGGTCCTATAATATTCATCCAATTCTTTTACCCAAAGATATTAAGATTTCTTACATATAATCAAATCATTTAGTAGCTTTTAAGTGTTCAAAATGTCATGCTAAACATTTATTTTGTTTAATTTTCCTAAATAAAAACCTCTGATCATGGGTGTTTGAACTGGCTGCAACAAACTTTTCTGCTTTTTCAGGTACAGGGTTGCATAAGAAAACAAGAGGTAATTTATTTTCTTAAAATTTTTTAAAGATTTATTTATTTGAGGGGAGGGAAAGGTAGAGGGAGAGGGAGAGAGAGAGAAAAAAACCCAAGCAGACTCTGCTCTGAACCTGGAGCCCTACCAGGGCTCGATCCCATGACCTTGAGATCTCAACCCGAGCCAAAACCAAGAACCCGCCATTTAACTGACTCTGCCACCCAGGCACCCCAAAAACAAGAAGTAACTTAATGCATTAATGAAATAATAATCCTTACAGGTAAGGGAAATCCAGATAAGATGTTTTAGATGGGACAGTGGTGGCCTATTTTCAGTAATGTAAAATAACAAGCATTTTTCTCCTGGTCATTGCTCAACACCTCCTGTCACTGTCTCCTTTTCTTTTCCCATGTTTTGACACTAATGTAGGTTTAATTTAAGTTAAGGAATGGCCAAAAAAGATGCAAAATGTGAATCACATGAGGAATAGTGAAGACAAACTGCTTGTTTTATAAATTTATGTAAAATTTGTTTTATTGGTTTATCATTGTGAATTATGGATGTTATTGTAATATGTCCATAATCTTGCTCTGGAGAAGAGAAAATTACTGCCTGTAGAAAAGAAAGAAGAAAGAAAAGAAAAGAAAAGAAAAGAAGAAAAGAAAAAAAGAAAAGAAAAGAAAAGAAAAGAAAAAAAGTTGTTTATGTGATGAAAATTAAAAGTGGAAAACAAACATATATCAAAACAAACTCTTTACTCTGTTTGGGTGATACGAATGCCAGGAGGTGACTTGGCTCAATAAAATAATAAAATGGATAACAAATATCAGAGAATCTATAGTTTAGAGGACGAAAACTGTGCCAGACACACGGGCAGCCTGGAGATTGGCATGGGCATTTTGCACTTTTCCATGCTTGGGGGAAAGCACTGATTTCCTTCTGCCAAGTCTGCCTCAGTATTAGTACCATGGAGATTCTTCCCATGTTTATGGAGATTGTCCAGGTCTGGCTCATATGCTGAGAGGGATGTACTGGCACTTTTACAAATACAAAAGCCAGAAAGAAACCGGCTGGAAATGTTGAAATGTTGGTGTGAGAATTTAGCCTGCTTAGGAGAAAGGACTGGGAAATTATGCCAACTAGGACAACAAAATATTGTAATACAATGATGCAGTGATTTACAGATCATTTGAAAAAGACCTTTTAATAAAATTGTCTACCTTACTCTAGAGGGTATGGAAGCAAGTTCCTGCCTCCTTTGCTGAATGGACTATGAAGACATTGGACCGGGAATTCTCTTTCCCTTCCTCCCTTCCTCCCTCCCCCTCCTTCTCTCTTCCTCTCTTTCTTTCTCCCAGGCACTTGAGACCTAAGTTAAGGCTTAGATTAGCTACACCAAAAATTCACAGGATTTAACATCCCTCACTTGGAACTAGGTAAATCATGTCTAGTTAGTAAATATGTAGGTGGAAGTCACTTAACAAGGAATTGACACAAATGTGTAGCTTTACTAGAACGCCTATTTCTTTTGTACAGAGGGAAGGGAGGCCCACTGAGAAGAAATCTCCACCCTGGAACTCTTTTTTTTTTTTTCTTTCTGTATTATTTCTAGTTTTAGTAGCAGAGTTTCTGGTAACAAAGTATAAAATTAAAATGCTGTGCAGTGTAGTTTTTGTTTGTTTGTTTCTTAAGTATGTTTTCTTTTAATTTTTATTGTTATGTTAATCACCATATATTACATAATTTGTTTTGGTGTACTGTTCCATGATTCATTGTTTGTTCATAACACCCAGTGCTCCATGCAGAATGTGCCCTCTTTAATACCCATCACCAGGCTAACCCATCCCCCCACCCTCCTCCCCTCCAGAAACCTCAGTTTGTTTTGAGTCACATAGAGCTAAGTCCAATTTCTACCTTTGCCATTTACTAATTGTATGACCATGGGAAAGTTGTGGAACTCTCCAAGTCTAAAATGTCCCATTAGTATAATAAGAGTAATACAAACTTTGTATTTTTAAGGAGATAGAATGGGAGAATGTACGTTAAAGAACAGCAACAGAGTAATTGGCATATTGCATGCATTCTGAAAGGTTAGGTTATCTACCAGAGCATTCAAAATATATTTGTTAAACACTCGTGATTTGCTAGACAATGATTTGTGGGAATACAGTCTTTGTTCTCATGGAAAACAGAGGGCAATAAGCAACAAACCCATAAAGAAAGAAATACAGAATATGTCAGTTGGAGTGTATTTTATCATGGAAAATATATCATGCTAATGGGTAGCAGTTGTTGGGCTGAGGGAATGATTTTTATTTTTAGAAGCGTATTTAAGAAAGATTTCAAAGCAAAGGGGATATTTGACCATGTTTGT